GCCTGCGGGGAAGGCGGCGCGGTGCCCTCCCGGCCTCCTCGGCCGCCCCCCCGGGGCACAAAGCGCTCCTCGCTCCCCTCTGCCTTCACCCTTCCTGACTTGCTGCCTTACACTTCCCTTCGGTTGTTTTTGACGCAGCCTTTCTAAAAGCTCCGGCCGCGGCCCTATGCCGGCGTTCCCCAGGGGGGCACCCTCAGCCCCTCTCCAGAATAGCACCGTAATGTAGGATGAAATACCAGCCAGGCAGGGCTGCCCAGGCTGCCGTGGGTCTCTCCTATACTGTACGATCTCCCTGTAATGACAGGATGTTTTTTTTTAAATTCTGTGGTGTAAGGAAAACTGTTGGTAGTGTTAATCGCACTGAGTTCTTCCCCCAGGTGTGAATCGCCATTTCCACATGATTTGCATCCGAGATAAATTCAGTCAGAATATTGGACGGCAGATTTCTTCCAAAGTGATTTGGGACCATCTGAGCACCATGTATGATATGCAGGCTCTTGTGAGTATACAGGGTTGATGCAGCCACATTCTTATTTCTTATAGAACTACAACTACCTGACAGGAGGCTGTAGCTGGTGGGGCCGTCCCTTGAATCCTGTGTTCAGTTTTGGGCCCCTCACTACAAGAAAGATGTTGCATTGCTGGAACATGTCCAGAGGAGAGCAACCAAGCTGGTGAGGGGTCTGGAACACAAGTCATACGAGGAGCGGCTGAGGCAACTGGGGTTATTTAGTCTATAGAAGAGGAGGCTGAGAGGAGACCTGATCGCCCTCTACAACTGCCTGAGAGGAGGCTGTAGGGAGGTGGGGGTCGGCCTCTTCTCCCTGGTAACGGACGATAGGACAAGGGGGAATGGTTTGAAGCTGCGCCAGGGCAGGTTTAGGTTGGACATTAGGAAAAACTTCTTCACCGAAAGGGTTGTCAGGCTCTGGAATGGGCTGCTCAGGGAGGTGGTCGAGTCCTCATCCCTGGAGGTATTTAAAAGAAGGAGAGATGAGGTGCTTAGGGACAGGGTTTAGTGGTGGGATGGCAGGGTTAGGTTAAAGGTTGGACTCGATGATCTCAAAGGTCTTTTCCAACCAAAGTGATTCTATGATAGTTCAGAAGTTTTGACAGGCCAAAAATCACTGGGCCTGTTAACACCTTTCGTGTTACTAAGAATTACGTGTCGTCCCAGTGAGTTGATGGGGTTTTCCCTGTATAAAAGTACATTAGGTGGGAGACAATAAACCCTGCAGTAGCTTTTGGTTTGGTTTTTTGGGTTTTTTTTCCATACTGTGTCCTGTATTAAAGTTACCAAAATGCTGATCCATCAAACATTTATGTAGGTACTTCACTGTCAAATAAGGAGGTTATAGTGTATTTACATAAGAATTTGCCATGTTTGGGTTCCAGAAATGATCTCAAACGATTGTGAGTCATGATCTCGGATCTCTTGACCTTAGTGATCAGTTTGACATCAGGAGTGTCCTGATTCTCTAGCATCTGAAGTGACTTGTTAAGACTTATATGGCTACTAATTGCATGTAAAATAGAACTTGAGATTGCACTTCTAAATCCAAATTAAAGTTTTTACCAAAGTCATTCATCGAGAACTTTCTTTTCTTTCTCAGCATGAATCTGAGATTCTTCCATTCCCTAATATAGAGAAGAATTTTGCTCTTCCTGACGAAATGATTCAAGAAGTGAGAGAAGGTAAGATGTGATAGCAGTCTCCTATTCATGGTTGCTCTAATCTCATCTCAGAATGGATCGTTTAAGAAAACTCCCCCCACAGAAGAACGTAACATCAATCCAAGGCCATTCTTTTAGACCGGTGTATCGGGAAAAGGAAGTGTTAAACAGATAGAAGTTTATCTCATTAATTTTTAATCAGCTCACTGAAGGAAACTCGGGGAAAGGATCACGCTGCTTGCGCTGCATATTCTCATTATCAGCCTCTGGGACTGACCACTGTAGGAGACAGCCTAGCAGGACAGAGAGACCTTTGGTCAGATTCCACACAGTATTTCTCATATTCTTAAATATAATGTAGATGGGATACTAATACAGCAGAAACAGGTTCTATCCATACCATTTAGATTCAACTTCTCCTTCTGGGTATACACAAAAGATCCTTGTGCTTCACTGATTCTGGTTTGCAGAGTGAAAGGCAAAGTGTGATTCTTTGCAAGGTGGTTAGTAGATTATTGTGGGATTTTTGCACTTTGTTGAGACAGCTGTAATATTACATCAGACCGTAATGTTAGCTAAAATAGATGATCTGCACATTTTAGCGTGGTTCATTTTGTAGCAAGATCATTTTTTTAAAGAGGAGGAGCTATAGAGCTGGTGCAAATTACACTTTCTGCATTTAATTTCTATATAATAACATTTGCGTGATAAAATTTCCTGTACCAGTGGTGATATAAGGCAGTTAAATAGCAATTCAGCTAATGTTTAGAAATGTACACCAGGAATATACTTACAGAATAGGTGCAGTTTCAGTAGCTGGAGAAACTAGCTTTCTGGCCACGGACTTGTACCTTTCGCTGGTATAACTATTTCATTTTTAGGCTATTACTATGTTAAATAAGGCTCATATGTCTGATTTTTAAAAGCATTACTGGTTTCTAATGTCCAATGATAGATTTTTCATGAAGTTCTTTTCCTGTAGTCCCATTAAAATTGATTGAAAACAAAACCAATGTGAGATGTTCAGAGGCGTTTATATACCTTCACGGTGGTTTCATTGCACTGTGAAATTATCTCTCTCTGTTTTTACCTTCTTGGGATTCAAGTACCTGGTTCTTCCAAATCTCTCTCACTCATGATAAGCCTATCTGTATTGTCTCATCTCATAGAAACATGCAGCAGTTTGACAGAAATCTTAAGTTGAGCAGCGAGAGCTGGGTTTTCAAAGTTTAGCTCTATGTGTGTTGCTTGGTACTGTTTTACCCAAGGTAGGAGCTAGGAAGTTCAAGCATCTGCCAAAGGAGTTCCTGCGGTATTTTAAACTACAATGGAATGCTTCTCGGTTACTAGGTACACTAAAGTCTACGCTAAAATTCAGTATAAAATCATAATGTAGCTAAGACATTGGGATATGTTTTGCCTATTCAGCATTTCACTTTCTTCCTGTTGATAATTTCAGTGGAACTTCTTGACATGAGACATCATCTTGTTCAGTGCTTTACATTATGCTCATAGTAGGCCTGGACTGTTGGCTATGTTTCTCTATCGCAGTGCTGAGGAATCTTTCTAAATTACAGCTGAGTGTTGCACTGAATATTTGTTAGCATTATGCACATAGGCTGAGGCTACTAATCCAGAAAAAATACATACGGTTCTTTAAAACCATCTAACCATTGCCTAACAATCCTTTCCTGTAGGAAAAGTGATGATAGAAGAAGAAGTGAAAGAGGAAATAAAAGAAGAGATGGAAACACATGCAGGTCCAGAAGAAGGTAAATTTGTAACTCTCTACTGTGTAATACGGGATTAAAAAACAACTGTAACTCTGAGGAATTAATGTTAAAATGTAAATCCCAAATACAGTGTACGTTGTGATTTGTATTCAGACTTAGCATATGGTCATGCCAAGAACTAGAATAATTCAAGAATGCACAGAGTAAGCAGTTGCCAATATCTCATGCTTTGAAAGATTTCTCCTTTGCTCCTAATTGATGTGTGCAAAGTTGTATAGCTTTGGAGTTCTTTGGTTTTAATATGTACTTGACAAAACCCTCGGAGTCTGAAGTAATCTAAGGATCTCTGAAAGAAAGTTGAGCCCGGTTTTAGTGAACCTAAATACTCTGTGTTAGGATCTTTGTAGTCGTGGGGAAAAATAGGGCCTATAAATCAAAAAAGATTGTAAGATTGTGTGCTTAAACGGGAAGGCGGGCAGAGTGGGGTTTTATTTTGTTTTATTTGCATTATCTTGCTTCTTTTAAATATAAGGCTTATTTTTCTAACACTTTGCTGTAGAACAGAAGTCAAATGTGAACAGGAGGGATCCTGCTCTTTACCTTAACAGACCAAGCCGGCTGTTAACTCTTACCATTTCGTAATAGTTATATCACAGAATAAGTGGTGGTTTAAGATTGAGTTTAACAAAAGATCAAAAGGTGTATTTTTAAAATATATTAAATTTCACATTTTGGGCGTTCAGTTTTAAAATCTATCTATAATACCGAATGTAATGACCGTTGCTGATTATAAATTTCATAGATTGGTCCTATGTTCTGTAAGTGTTCCTATTAAGTATTTTAAGTGCTGTTTAATTCCACTTAATGAATTTCATTTTTAGCCTGTCAAAATACATGCCTGTCTTTAAAGCAAATAATAAAAGCAAGATGTGCCTTTCTTACGGAAGATTTTTCCTTTCAAAGTGAAAGTAATGCTTAAATGGTGGTTAAATATGCTGAGAAATGATTGGTTTGAAAAGTTTTATGTAATATAAAGAAATTTGATATCACTTCTTGCTTGCCTATGTGTATGACTCTGATCTGGAATCATTACTTTGATCCTGTTTCAGTTTTTGCACCCTCTGGAAGTTTAGGAAAAACAACTGAAAAGCCAAGCGGCAAAGAGAAAGAGAAAACTTCATCAGATTCTGGGTCCAAAGAAGGATCTGATAAGAGGAAGCGCAACAGAGTCACTGAAAAGGTCTTAAACGCAAACAGTAATCCTTCCAGTCCAAGCGCTGCAAAACGACGCAGAACATAAAGCAAGCTGTGAACGAGAGAAGTAATAAACTATGGAACGTGAGGAGGGAACAGTGAAAAGGAGTAGCGGGATAGTCGCTACGTAGACTTTTGGGGAAAGGAAAAGATATCTGAGCCAGGTATTTGAAGAATCTGCGCATTGGCTTTATACATCCCAGACTTTGTCTTTCCTGATGTGTTTTCTGGTCAGCACCGAGCAGCTGAGCGATGGCTGCCTTCCCAGGGCATGGGGGGAGAAAGCTGGCAGCGTGAAGAGTTTGTGCCTATGTAACAAGTCTGGTGGTTGCATTTCAAACGAGTAACACGCTCTGTGTCAGCATGGTTCGTGAAAAACGTGCTCAGAGAAACACAGCCTCGGTTTGTGAAAAGCGTAGCTTCTTCCTATAAATTTCAGGTCGTTTTTTCTGCCTTTCCTTTGTTGCTGTCTTTGGATGTTCCAGACCCTCTGTGGGTAAAGTTTGGGCATTTTACTCAGTGCAAACGTAGCGTTTGTATCAAAATGTCTAAATTCGTTGGTTCAGTAAAACTAAAATTCTTTTAAATACAGATAACTATTGAGTTGAAGTATTATTTCGCTCTCTTTGCTGGAGGAACCTTTACTTCTCTCACTCTTAGCGACATAATACTTTCCAAGCTTTATAAGTTTATATACCATAAGTGAAGTGGAAATGATAATGCCCCTAGGATAATAATTAATAAGTATCCTAAATAAAATACCTAGTGATGTCACATGGTTTTGTGAGGGATCCGCTGAGCTGTGCGTGAACCTGGAGATGTTGCTTCGCCCATTTGTACTATAGTAGTATATAACAGTGGGGTTTGTACTTTATTATTTATTTTTTTAAAGGAGTTTTAGTAGATGTTAATAGAATTGGTATTCCAAAAGGTTAATTTTGTTCTACAACTCAAGAATCTTACTGACGTTGTAATGCTTATCTTTTATATGCTGGAATATTAAGATTTGATAGAAGTTACTGTTTTTGTGTTGTGAAAAGATGGACCACAGTCAACAAACACACGTTAAATGGTGAGTGGAGGAGGCTGAAATGTTACTGAATTTGTTTCACCATATTAACCATCGGTTAACAGAAAGAAGAATTATCTTCTTAATCTATCAGTATTGCCTTCAAGGTGGGGAACTAGGAATCTACTCGTTTTTGCTTTTATTGTAGGTACGTAGCCAAGTTCTTGTCTGCCTGATTTGCTTCATTTGTTTTATACCAAGAATAAATTTGACTTGTCTTTATTTTACTAAATGGTAATTGTTGCGTAACTTGATTAAAATTTGGCCCAACTTATCTTGAAGGTTGTTTAGGTATCTTGTGTCTTTAGTGAAATTGGTCAAACGTGCCTACCTTGTGGTTTGGGGGATTTTTTAATAACTTTGTCTGGATCTTAGGAACTACTACCCTCTTACTTCTCTAAGTTAATGGCTAAGAAGTCCTGGCCTGCTGAAGTCAATAGGCAGGTTGCTCTAAGTTTCCAAGTAGAGGATTTGCTCTGTTCTCACTAGCATAACGCAGTTGTGAAGTACTGAGTTGGGACGATGAAGTTTTTGTGGCGGTCTCTGGGAAGCTCCCCTGTTGACCCTCTCGCACTCACTGGAGAGCTCTACAAGGTCGGAGCTCTGCCGGGATGGCCGCTAGAACCTCGCTCTTTTAGGGTCTGGAATTTACAGCGTGATGCAAGCTTGCTCTTTAAGGTCTGGAATAGCGGGGCGTAAACTAATTCCGAAGCAGAAGGTAGGAAATGCCATGAATTTCGTGCTGTGCTCCAGGTGGTAAGCCTTGCAAAGGATAACCTACCCGCTGGAGAGCTCCCCGGAGCTGTGGTTCGTGGGAGAGGTGTTACAGGTGTCTCGGAGGTGGGTAGAAATCAAACTTTTAGAACCTTAGGCGAGGAAGCTCCTGGTTTTAATTCTGACATTTAAGAAAAACGCTCAGATTAATTTATTTGTTGGTATTACCCAGTCAGAAGTTGTTATCCTATGTCATGTACAGATCTGTCACCCAAGCACTGAAAGATGAACGCCTCTGTTAATTCTGAAGGAAACAACAGAATTTAAATTGCTGTTCACTTTGTCATGACCCACACGGATCTTGGCCATGAAATGCAGATTTTGAAACTTTTCAAGTCTCGCGGCCTTGTGGGGTAAATTCTTTTCATCCAAGGGGTTCCAGTATGAAATTTTTTTGCTGTATCAACGAGATGTTTTTTATAGCTTGAAGTAGAAATGTGCCAACGTTGACGTGTACTGGTGCAACCTCTCAACACCATCCTTGGAGCAGGGGAAATCCACTTGGGATTGCACGGTCAATCCAGCGGTGCGGCTCTGTTGGGAGTTTGGGGGTTGGACGTTTGGCAAACGTAAACGCTTTATATGACCTGAGCGCTGCGGCTCCCTTTTCCTCCCTTCCCTTTCACCGAGGCCTGGCTCCTTGGGAAGATTGCTGTGTTATTCCTTCTCCCATAAGAGGGATGTTACCCCCGTGGTGGAAGGGGCACGTCTGTGCCGCCTGGGGAAGGGGAACGCGGCTCCCACTGCTCCCCCTGCTCCTTCCTGCGGCCCTGCGCGGGACCCCTTGCTGCTGCCCAGCGCCGGGGTGGATGGAAAAGAGCAGAATTTCCGCCTTTTTTTCCTCTCGGGTGGGCGCGCCGGGGGCGCAGGATCCCTGGAGAAAGAGCGGAGCCACCGGTGGAGGCC